GAAACCCTATGAATGTAATCAATGTGGTAAAGCCTTTACACAGAAGAGTTATCTTCTCACCCATGAAAGACTGCATACTGGAGAGAAACCCTATAAATGTAATCAATGTGGTAAAGCCTTTGCATTGAAGAGTCGTCTTCACAATCATGAAAGAATTCATACTGGAGAGAAACCGTATAAATGTGACCAATGTGGTGTAGGCTTTGCACAGAAGAATACTCTTCAAAGACATGAAATAATTCATACAGGAGAAAAACCCTATGAATGTAATCAATATAGTAAAGCCTTTGTACAGAAGAGTAGCCTTCTAAGTCATGAAAGAATTCATACTGGACAGTACCATATGGATGTAATCAATGTGGTAATTTTAGATGTAAGCTGCCATGTGGGTGCTGGAAACTGAATTGTGTTTTATACAAAAGTTACTTGCCTGGAGTCCAGTTTCATATGGGTTCAGGTCCCAAAGAATAGATCAGGCATCAGTAGAGGAAGGAGACTGCCATGATCTGAGCATGAAGCATTATAGCAGCTGCTTTTTTGAAAAATGACTACACATTTTATGCTCTATAATTGAATCTTAGTTTAACTCAAGCAGGTTAAAAACAGACTCAATGATTCCAGGATAAAAGCAGCTATCATCATCATTACAGCATTTTTCCTGGGGCAAAAAGTGATAAATTCAGCAAGTATCTTCATTCCTTATTGGATGTAAGCCCATTGTTTCCCTTCATAGTTGCTTTTATCCTAGGAATTTGGCGTATCCAGTTAGTAAACCTTTAACTTCTGTTTTTGGTGTAATCAGGGGAACATAATGGGGCTTCTTGTGTGGGAGTAGGCATAGTAATCACATTATGTGGTTCCATGGTGGTGGGATTTTTTCAAAGAATTTTGTTTAAAGAGACTACCTTGCCTATGTATATGTTCCCATCCTCCAGTGTAGCCAGCAAAATAAATTTCCCACAGTAAAAGGCATAAGGAAACTCCATAACATATAGTGAGAATTATTAAAATTGAAATAAAAATGATGTTGGAGAATTAAGATTGACAAAGAGGAAATGCTGGAACTTTGTCAAACAGCAATGGTCACTGTGCAGTCCATACCAGGTGGTAAACTGCTAAACAATTTCTCATCCTTTTTTATTTCTTTTAAGATTCATTTTATTATTGTTACCTTTGTGGGTCCACATGAACAGTATAGTTTGAAATCAGATGTCAGCCTGTGTAACCCAGTTCTTCCTTTCTACCATGTGGGTTCTGAGGACCAGACCAGGTCCATCAGTCTTGGTTACAAGCACTTTACCTCCTGACTCATGCCATGATGAACACTGAGCACTGACATTTTTTTTTTTTGTTAACTGTTGATTTGTTGTTTGTTTGTTTGTTTTTTAAACAGGCTGATGAAGTTCAGGCTGACCTTGAACTTCAGACCTTTCTGCTTCCACCTCCAGTTACTGGGATGATAGGTTTTACTTCTATGCCCTGTGTATGCAGAGGTCTTTTGTGTGTTGAGCAAGTATTCTATCCAATGACCACCATTTGATATGAAAACATTGATATAACTGAGTTTTTCATATACAGGTCTACACTGAGAACCTGCCTCAAAACCAAACCGTAACTGCAAACACAAACTTTTGTTAAAATAAACTGTGTGTTTGTGTGTGTGTGTGTGTGTGTGTGTGTGTGTGTGTGTGTGTTGAGATATAGTCTCTCTCAGGTGCCTATACTGCCCTGGAACTCACACTGTAGCCCTTGAATCCTGCCCCTTGGCCTCGGCTTCCTTAGTACCAGGAGAACAGGGCTGGACTAGGGAGTGAACAAGCCAGAGCACAGAGTGGACTACCTGTGTGTCCTGGGGCTCACAGGTAGTAGCCAGAGGTGCTTGACAAGATCAGAATATTTCTAGGGTTGGATTATATTCCAGAACCTTGCTTGAAATGGAATGCCAGCATTTCAGCATGGAAGGATGGGAAGAGGCCCAGGATTCAATCCTCTTTGAGGTCGAGGTGTCCTGAGAGTCTCATGTGGGTTAGGGCCACAAATGCAGTGTGAGGCATTGCTTTTGAAGAGATTGATATACACTACCAAGACCATGGTCATGGCTCAGTTGTACCTTCAGTGGCCTCATATAGATGGTGAGTAAGCATGCCAGGGCTAGAGCTGTGCCCAGGAGTCCCTGGACAAGGACAAGGAAATGGTGGAAAAGAGACTTCCTTCTTGCTCACTGGTAGAGCACACTAAGCTGAGATTACACAAAATTGAAAATCCTCCCAGGTGGTAAAGTATTGCAGAATCCATCCACTTCTCACATGGGAAACTGAAACAGAGAAGGAAGGCAGTCATGGCTAAAACAATTCTGGGTATTGTTCTAACTGGTTATTGTAACTGTGATAGCAAGTGTGGTGCACTTACATCTGACTGAATAACAGGCATAGGGTCGGGAAGTCACTCAACAAAGGCGAAAGACAATAAATGGACAATTAGCAGGATTTGAACCCATGTATCCCATGTGTACTCTTATAAAGTTTTTAAGACTGCATATATTTATTAATATAAGGAAGAGGGCATGCATGTGTGGGAATCAGAGGATAACTTACCTGATTCCATTTTCTCCTTCAACCATGTGATTCCCAGGGAAGGAACTCAGATAGAAAAACAGGCTTGGCAGCAAGTATCTTTACCACCAGAATCATCTCACTAGCCCTCAGTTGTATCATTTTGTGTGAATGTGCATGTGTGGAGGTCACAGGTCAATATTGGGCATTTCATAATTGATATTATTCTCCAAGTTGACTTCATGGGTTATTGGGTATTGAAAGGCATCTCCAGACTCTAGAATTCCTGAAGATGTGCCATTTGAGACCATAAGGACAGGGGAGCCATTATGGCTTTCTGTCTGAGCCAAATAGACAAAGTGTTTGCTAATCTGAAGTTCAGACGACAGTGCCTGGTTTATTTGTGCTGTGAGTACACAGGGCCTTGAGTCATTAAAAGATAATCTGTGTTTTTGATTGTGGTAACAAATCACATCCTCATAAATTCATGGCTGTATTG